TTAGAATCAGGTTCATCTTTTATTGATCGTGTTTCCTTAAATTGTCTAATCAGACTGGAAAGTAAGCCCTCTAGGAGGTTTTTGATACAAGACTAAAGCATCTTTTTATATTATCTTTCTTCACATCCCCTTGGGTCTGGCTTCTTTCTGGCAGTACCCAATAAAATACAGTTTTTTAAAAAAAGATTTATTTATTTATTTATGATAGACATAGAGAGAGAGAGAGAGAGAGAGAGAGAGAGGCAGAGACACAGGCAGAGGGAGAAGCAGGCTCCATGCACCGGAAGCCCGATGTGGGATTCGATCCCGGGACTCCAGGATCGCGCCCTGGGCCAAAGGCAGGTTCCAAACCGCTGAGCCACCCAGGGATCCCTAAAATACAGTTTGAATAGAATTCTAACTCCAGATCTCTGAAGGAATACCGTCTGCGGAGGCCTGTGACGGATTTCTCCCCAGACGGCAGGACTTTTGCAAACAGAGAAGCCAGAACAAGACGGATAAAAAGGACTTTCCCAAGATTGAGTTGAGTGACTCAGCGGTTGTCTTAGGAAAGTGAGCAAATCCGATCGTCTCCTGAGCTCCCAGAACATAGAAGCAAAGAGAAGGAAAAGATGACCTTGGTGGACCCTTTTCTGTCTGGAAAAAGTCTAGAAAATCCTCCATTGGTTGAACCACAGCCTTGTCCCCAAGACTCTACCTGTGCTCCCTACTCTTGAGCCATTGGTATGAGCAGGAGACACGCTCGCTCGAGCTCCCAGCAAGGTGAAGGAGCAGGACACGGTGAAGAGCGGGTGTTTGCAAAGCCTCGCCTCTGAAAAAGGAGAAAAGCTGAGAACTGACATGAAAGCACATCACTTGCATCCGGGCCTGGGCGGAGGGGCGCTGAGCAGGGCTGGGAGCCGCAGCATCTCTGCCGCAGGATGGCCTCTCGGAGCAGCTGTTCTGGCTTCGGCCCCCATCTGTCTGGGCAGGCTGCCAGCCGAGCGCCCCGTCCTGCGGCTCCAGAGCCCACACCCAACTCCAGCTCAGCTCTTGGAGGGATGCATGGGCGCTCTGACCTACCAGCCATCAGGCTACCTGTCTGGAGGATTCTCGAGTAGTTTTCACTTGGCTTTGCCATGGACAAGAGGTGTTTTCTAGTGCATTCTCTATTACCTGTATGATGGTTTCTGAGCAAAGGTCTGCGGGCTTAACAGTTCCATTTTCCACATGCACTCACATGAGAGAAACGCACAACAGTACATGTAGAGATCGTAAGTTCCTAGAGGCGAGAGAGTCTTAGAAAATGTTTCTATGTTTCAGAAGAGGAAACCGGTGTCCTTGAAATTAAGTAATGACCATACAGTTAGTGTTAAGGTGGAGGGTCCCTTCTACCCCCAGTTCAGCATTTGCACTGAGATTCCTTAATGCCCAAGGGAGGATGCCCAGAGGGACAACCTGGCCATGACACGAGGCACCACACTGCTGAGCCACAGAGGCAGTGGGCACCTAACTCGTTGCCTCATTTAGTATAAGGGTCTTTATTTTTAACCCACGGAGGGGAAAGGAGCAAAATTTCATTAAAAAAAAATCTGAAATCCTGGACTACATCTAGCACCAAAAGGGCAACTGGTTTTCAGGATGCATGTGTGACATATGATCAGAGCATTTTACAGTGTCAGGGATATAGAGGCACTTAATGGTTTCAAACATTAGGAAGAGTAGATGAGAGAGATTGCAAGAGAGAGAGAGAGAGAGAGAGAGAGAGGTAAAGAGACAGAGAAAGAGACAGATTGTGGGGCAGGGAAATAACTCAACAACAGAGAAAGACGACCAATCCAGAATATGCACATTTCCTTCTCCTCCTAGGAAGCTCCTAGGGCTTCATTCATGTCTTCCTGCCACTGCTGGTAAAGAAGAAAACATTTTAAAAAATCTCACCCAAAGGTCACCCTGGGTGGCTCAGTGGTTCAGCGCCGCCTTCAGCCCAGAGTGTGACCCTGGGGTCCTGGGATCGAGTCCCACGTCCGGCTCCCTGCATGGAGCCTGCTTCTCCCTCTGCCTGTATCTCTGCCTCTCTCTCTCTCTCTGTCTATCATGAATAAATACATAAAATCTTTAAAAAAAATATCTCACTCAAAGAGCAATTTTCTTTTTTTAATTAACAACAACAACAACAACAAAAATCTCCAGAAATTTGCTTGAGGAAGGACTAACTTAAAGACCGAAGTGACTCTGGTGTATACAGGTACGTAGCATGCTGGATAAGTTGAGAACAGTATGAAAGAGCCATAAAAAGTAGCTGCAATTTGTTGAGCATTTGTGGTGAGTAAATACTTTACATCCCTTTATTCCTATAGCTTTGCAGCCTCTCCTTTAAGGACATTGTCCCCATTGTGCAGACAAGGAAGTTGAGGCGCAGAGATCTTACGTCCTGGGCACAGGACTACACAGCCACCTAGGGTAGAGCCTGATGTCAAGGTCTACTCTTTGTCAACATGGTGGCTGGCATTTTGTCCAAGACTATTAATCATTCCTATGAAAAGTCCTGTACCCTTCAAAGACATTTAGCGTCTTTGACCCTCAGGCACTAAATACCAGGAGCAGCTTGACTGTCACTCTGAAAATTAAGACGTCTTTCCGCATTTACAGACTGCCTGTAGAGGTCCTACTCTCCATACCTCAACTGTTAAGGAAAATTCTGCGTTTCAGAAGCTTAGGGCTAAAAAGAATTTTTAGAGCTCCACTGGTTTTGTTGTTTTGTGTTGTTTGTTTTGAGAGAGAGAGAGAGAGAGAAGAGAGGGCGTCAGGGAGTAGGAGGGGACAGAAGGAGAGAGAGGATCTTAAGCAGGCTCTATGCTCAGTGGGGAGCCCAACACGGGACTCGGTCTCATGATCCAGAGATCATGACCTGAGCCTGAATCGAGAGTCAGAAGCTTAACCAACAGAGCCACTAGGTGCCCCTACTAGTTTAGTTTTTATAGTGAATTTGTACAGAAAAAGAATACTGATCAAGAGATCAAGAGAATGCTGAGTTTTGGGTTTTTTTTTTTTTTTTGACTTGTTGACGTTGAAGGAATTCTCAAAAAAAGCACCTACTATGTCCTGGGAAACATGCTAGACATTATCATCCCTACGTGTAAATAAACGGTGTGTGCGTGTCCATATTTGAAAGAGAAACAAAGGGAATTATAACTTTTATTGTCCTTGAAGAAAGCAATGGTGAGAGCACTTGTTTTGCGAAGCAGCAATTTCACTTGGGCAGCTTTCCACCACACCATAGCCATGCCGTGGGTCGCCAACGAAGTCGTCCCGTTGTCAACCGGGGACGGAATTTGGGAACACGATAAAAAGGGGCCCAACTGTAGTTACAGCCATAAAATTAGAGAGAAAAGAACGGGTGTGCGGGAATCAGTCTCGGTCAGCACATTAGAGGTGTGCCCTGTACGCAAATATTGTGATAAATATTTGCAAATACAAATATTCCTACAAGGAAGGAAACAGAGTAGGACTGGCAAAGAGGTCCGGGAGACAGCTGCAATGGCAGACCTCAGACGGAAAGAGAGGAAGCCGTCCTGGCAGATGCGGGAGGAATGGGAAACAGCTGGCCATGGATGCTGAACGCTGGCCGGGGGACAGGGGAGGACTGGGGCGGGGGGAGGGGGACAAACTTTCAGAGTTTAAGAAAGCGTCTTGGAACTGAAAGCCAATAAACGGGAGACATCTCCAGGCTGTGACAGAGTCTTAAAAATTCAGCTTTAAGTTAAAAGTAGATCTGCCCTACGACCCAGCAATTGCACTGCTGGGGATTTACCCCAAAGATGCAGATGCAGGGAAACGCCGGGACACCTGCACCCCGATGTTTCTAGCAGCCATGTCCACAGTAGCCAAACTGTGGAAGGAGCCTCGGTGACCATCGACAGATGATGGATAAAAAAGATGCGGCCTATGTGTACAATGGAATATTCCTCAGCCATTAGATACGACGAATACCCACCATTTGCTTGGACATGGATGAAACTGGAGGGTATGATGCTGAGTGAAATAAGTCAATCGGAGAACGACAAATATTATATGGTCTCATTCATTTGGGGAATATAAAAAATGGTGAAAGGGAATAAAGGGGAAAGGAGAAAAAATGAGTGGGAAATATCAAAGAGGGAGACAGAACATGAGAGACTCCTAAATCCGGGAAATGAACTAGGGGTGATGGAAGGGGAGGAGGGCGGGGGGTGGGGGTGACTGGGTGACGGGCACTGAGGGGGGCACTTGGCGGGATGAGCACTGGGTGTGATTCTATGTGTTGGCAAATTGAACACCAATAAAAAATAAATTCATAAAAATAAAAAAAGTAAAATAAATTCAGCTTTAAAAATTCCTCGGGAAAGCAATGATCTATCCATCTATTTATTTATTTAGAAAAACTCCAAAGTGGTTTGAACATTAAAACAAGGGCTGATAAGTCAACCCCGAAAGAGGTCGCCCACAGTGGCACAGCAGGATTTGAGAACAGGCTTGTAGAGAATTTACCAGAGTGTGAAAGAGTTATGCAAACTGATCCATTTTGGCTTAGAGCTGCCTCAAGCGTGTGCTAGAGCCACGGGCACTTTCTCTGAGATAAATGTGAGATGACTTGTCGACACCCCTCCTCCTCCTGGGGACAGGAAGCTTTCTCAGAGCGGTGAGATTCCAGTAACAGGGTAGGAAGACTCCTACACACGCATCACATCACGCATCGTCAGACGGGCTGTGCCCTTCCCTTAATAGGAAACGATCTCTTGTTTGATAAAGACCCAGGCAGGCCTCTGACAGGAAGGGCTCCTTAGTGGTGAGCTCAGTGACTTCAGATCTTTTGTTCTTCTGTCTCCGGAGCTAGAGCAGAGGATGTGGCTGGGGTGGGAGGCGGGGACTACGACTGTGTGTGTGTGTGTGTGTGTGTGTGTGTGTGTGTGTGTTTTCTCATTTCCGCTTCCCCTTTCTGAGCGGGCAACAGCAGTTGAATGAGGACAGAGAGAAAGGTACAACATGCAATATGATACTTTGCCACTGTCCTCACTCAGATCCCGATACCTGGGAAGGGCTTGGCCCGGCTTTGCTGACCTCAGCTCACCCTCAAACTCTGCTCTCTACCTGCGGGCAGGTAAGTATATGATTTCCACCTCCATTTTAAGACTATACCGATTTGGGGTGGAGCTGGGAGGAAAAGGGAAAAATCAGGAGAAAATCTCCCACATCCCTGACTCCGATCTTAAAAAATCCATCACCGTGCTTCTCAGAACAAAAAGGTCCCTTTATCTTTTTAAGATTTTATTATTATTATTTTATTTCTTCCCATTTACTGGACAGATATTTTATATAGGGCCACAAAACATGGGTTCTTTGATGGCCTGAATTAATATTTAGAAACTTTTCACCTTTCTCACGTGGGAAGCTCCTCTCCGCATCTTGCTGTACTCCCTTGTGTTGGAATTTCAATCTGATTCCAACTTCGAAAGGTCCTCAAGGAGATACATTTCTCACGTCACTGCGGGTCCCATTCTAGTGCTCCTAACTGTGAACTAGTGGAAATTACCTAGCCTAAATCGATGCTGTTTTGTGTGAGTGTGACTACTTTTCTCCAAAGCTGCAGAAGAAGGCTGGTGAGGAGATGAGCTACAGCCAGACATATTGGGAGTAGATGTGAGGGGGAGGTCACACGATTGGACAATGCCAGGCCTGCTTAACTGCACAGCTCAAGAGAGGTAACCAGCTGTCGGGGTTGTTTTTCAGGCTGGACATCTCAGAGGTGGATACACGGATGTGTCGATCACTTAATGACTTGTATCGACTCACGTGGGGTGGGTCTGTGCTCCTCCAACATCCCTTGACTTAGCGGTAGCCAGGCTGAGCTTGTTACCACCTACATGACTTTTGGAGAAGGTGGAGGAGTGGAAAGATCCTCTACACTGGGGTTTTCCCAGGCCCCTGCTGTGCTACAGAGCTTTCCAGTGGGTGGAGAGGAGGCAGGTGCCTACGCAGAACAATGAGAAGATAAAAGAACCCCACAGAAATGGTTTGATAAGATCATGAGGACTTATAAGTACTAGTGACTCGGTCACAAATGGCTGCCCAGACAGGCAATAGCAGTGCTGAGGATGGGAGGTTGGAAGTTGGAGGCTGGAGGCCTTCAACCTGTGTGTCTAAGCTGCAGACTTAACAGTTGTTGGGCTTGAGTGATTGGAGGTGAAATCTGGTGTGATTCTCCCAGAACAGGAAGCATTACTAGGAGGAGGGGAAGCCAGGTTTATTATCTCTCGCTACTAGGATATTATCAGAGAGAACAAGCGGAAGATATAACAAGAGGGACAGAAACAGATCTAACAAAGTATTTCTTATTCAAGGGCATCCCAGGGAGTTTAGAAACTCTTGACAGCCCTACTAGCAGCCCCTTCTCATAAGTCTCCCAGTCCCCTGAAACGAGGACGGAGCCCTAGGGTTAGGCATTACGTAGTGGCCATGGGAATCAACACAGTCCTTTTTAGTCCTTCTTTTTAGTTAGGGTTTATGACTTGTATTCTAATAGAGAATGGAGAGGAAGTTTGGTCCCAGCTTAGATCATGAATCATGGGTCCACTATGGGCTACAGCAATGGAAAAAGATCAGACACTTAATGCTACTTGATCATTGACAAGTGTTCTGTACGCTTTGAGCCCTGCCCATACCCAAGCTCAGTGCGGAAAGGACTTAAACACAGATTCTGAGAAGAGAGAGTGTAGATAACTGTGGGGGGGGGGAGAAAAATTAAAATGAACACATAAGGGAAAGTGCCATATTACCATGGAAAAAGGACTGAAAAATGGAAGACATGGATTCACAGAACTGAGAACTCCGCTCACCCTCACTCGTATCTCCAGCCCAAGCCATCTGCAAACCAGGCCACAGATGGATGGATGTTTCTTAGTCCAGCTGCTTTATAGCCCATCCAGGTGAAAAATTTAGTTTCTTTCAGCACTGAGAGCACAGGATTACCCTTTTCCAAATGTATAACTTGAATGTCTCCCATGGCACTTTATGAGCCTTCCATAAAACTCATTCACACCATGGAGATGGGCATAGGGAAGAAAGGGAAAGAGAGAGGAAGAGGTTTTAGACGTCTTCTTCCAGTATTTGTTCAGCTGAAATTATCTGGGGGAGAAAGAGGGTAAAAATAGTTCTATTCATTCCTTGGAATTTTTCTTCATATTATTTATCAAAAAATATTATATTTCCCTGAAATAGATTGAGTTGCTGCTTTAGACCATAGATGTCTCAGAATATTCAAATGCTACCCTCGGGGGAATTTTTGCTCTGAAGGTCTTCCCAACTGCAGCGACATGGAAGAGAACTAGAAATTAGGAATGTATTTCCTATCTATGGAGGAACGTGAGAGCATATTACAGGTCGGGGGCATGTGGAAGGGGGTGCAGCCAACCTGGCTTGAGGTGGTTTGTCCTATCTAGAGCGGAATGGCTGTCCTGGGATTTCCCACAGCCCTTCCCACAGTGGTGCTGTGTGTCTATCTTGGCTGTAAATGCGGATAAGATGCACGTCTCGTGGGCCCCATCATGGAAACTCTGTGTCCTTCTCTCCTCCCACGCTTGTTTTCACTCTTAGTCCCAGTTTATAGGCTCTGCTTGGGTGTAGGCACAATAAGGACAGAAAAGAAGAGAGGCCTGATACCTGTTCCTGGGAGGAGGTCCCGAGTGGAAACCAGGGCGCCATGAGGAAGGTCGTGTGATGTAAAGGAAGAAGCACAGACCTGGGGCTTAGAACTTGTGAGTTTCAGTCCCACTTATAACCTTAATATTCCATGTGATTGGGATCCCTGGGTGGCGCAGCGGTTTGGCGCCTGCCTTTGGCCCAGGGCGCAGTCCTGGAGACCCGGGATCGAATCCCACATCGGGCTCCCAGTGCATGGAGCCTGCTTCTCCCTCTGCCTGTGTCTCTGCCTCTCTCTCTCTCTCTCTCTCTCTCTCTCTCTCTCTCTGTGACTATCATAAATAAATTAAAAAAAAATATTCCATGTGATTTCAGATAAGCCTCCTTCTTACTTCCCCTCTCTCTCTCCCTCCCAACCTCTCTCTCTGTCTCTCTATCTCTCTCTCCCATCCCCACCCCTTCTCTTTTTTGAAATGAATGACTGGGATTAGATGCTCTCTCGGGTCCCTTTAGGCATGAAGTAAGAAGGAAGGAGCTACTTAACTGTGTTTCATCTCTGCTCAACACCATCTCTCTTTCCCATCTGGATTTTACACCAGCTGCCATATCCTGCATCTCACTCCATCTTCCCTCTTATTCCTGAAAATGTTCTGATTTTAGTGAATGGTTTAGACTGAGGGAGGATTAATAATAATAACTGCTATCATTTATCAAGCACTTCCTTTATATATCAGGGACTTAACACACATCACCTGATATTAGCCCTAATAGCCCAACAAATTGCATGTTACGTGTTTTAGATATGAAGAAACTTAGATTTAGAAGGGACAGGTGATTTTACCAAGGACACATAAGCAGAAAGTAGATAGAACTGTGATTCCAAACAAGGCTAACTCTAATTCCAGGCCCTTGTTCTTTTTATAGTTTTCCTTTTCAAGAGTTGGCCATCCTTTCTGGACCTCTTGAAAAGATCCCCATGAGATACCTATAAGCAGAGCTGATACTTGGCAGGTACAAATTGGTAGACCCATAACGATTTATTAAAATATTTCCATACCAAATTATGGTAAATATCAATTGCCCCAAGCCCACTGAGTGCCCATGACCAACCCAACTACCCAATGCCATATACTTGTAGAACCCGGCTACGGGGCTATCACTGGTGTCAACTCTGATTTGTCTGTGCTGCCCTAGAACCATCATTCTGAATGGCACAATAGCATAGAACACAACCAAATGTTCTGTGACCTGAATCACAACAATCTGAGAGAAGTAGATGCGATTCTAGGCAGACTGACTTTTTCCTCTCGACCAGAACCTAATTGGACCCTTGCTGCTAAGCCATTCTTGTAAGCCTGACAAAGGCAAAACTGCTTCATAGTCTAGTTGGAGTTAGGAAGGAAAACTATGCTAATAACCAAAGAAAGCAACACTTCCTTCACTCAGATTGTCACAAAGCCAAGGATAGATTAATTTTGGTTTATGCTGCCTCTTTGATAGAAGGCTATAACGTGGAGAGTTTGCATAGCATGTGAAATGGAGAATTTACTGAAATAGTTTCTTCTTTCTTTCATCCTACATTACATGTACCACTGATCCTTGGGTGGAGATATTAGGTCATTTTCTTGTTCCATAATTCATGGAAAAATCATACAACTTGAGTCAGATCAACCTGAGTTTAATTCTCAACATTACAATATCCTAAATATATGACCCGGGATGGGTCGCATATGTCCCTGAGCTTCACATAACAATAGTTAGTTCAAAGGTGATTGTCAGGATTAAGTGAGATGGTTTATAGGAAGGTTCTATGGATAAATAGAAGGTGCTGTGTATATCCCAGTTATTAGCACCTATTACTTTGGCCCATATTAATATATGGGGAATCCCTAACTCCATCTCTTAGAAAACACCCTGGAGGTACATGGGGTACTCAATGCAGTAATAATGACAGGCCCGTAAAGGTTTTTCTCCTGCTTGCCGCTTGTGCTGATGGTTTTTGTTAGAAGATACTCCTTTCAAATCTCTTGATTCCTGAACCTTCTTTTGTCTACTTTGATCCTGTAAGCCGAAATTTCTGCTTTTAACTATAATATCCTCAAAACAAAGAGAATTCCCTCCTGCTCTATTTGTTGTAGTCAGACTCCAAAACATTGAACAGATTGTAGAGAAATATTTGGGGAGTGAACCTCTAGAGAAATGTAGGGAAGAGGAAAGGACAAAGGACTGGAAATGAGAGCAGAAGGGGGGAAAATAAGGCTTTTAAAGAGTGATTCAGGCAAATAGCAATAGAATAAATGTGGAGTTTTTTTGGGCTGTGGGGGTGTGCAGTTAGAAGGAACATCAGAAAAAAAAATACCAGCAGACTAGGACTTCCTTCCTCACAGGAGGTAGATTAAATACAATATTAAATACAATAGATCAAATACAATAAGCCAGCATCAGATGGTAATCAGATTCTAGAAGGAACTTCTGACCAAGGAATGGAAACTCAGAATGGAAGAATATTCTTTAAATATAGAAAAATGGAAATTCTGGAGAAATATTTTTTAAATATAGAATTTGATAGTTTGAGTTTTATAAGATTTGGTCAGACTTGTTGGACCCCTGTGTTCTGTCAGTAAGAGACAGTGTGACTATGCCCCAAGCCTCTTTCCTCTTTACTACAAGGTGTAAACAAATATATATCAGAAAGGGAGACAAACATGAGAGACCCCTAACTCTGGGAAACGAACAAGGGGTGGTGGAAGGGGAGGTGGGCGGGGGGTTGGGGTGACTGGGTGACGGGCACTGAAGGGGGGCACTTGATGGGATGAGCACTGGGTGTTGTGCTATATGTTGTCAAATCGAACTCCAATAAAAATATATAAAAAAACAAATATATACATTAAGATTTGAGACCTTATTGAAAGTCGGGAGGCCCCAGTCCCATGGCACGTACTGAATGAAGATAGTTTTTCTTGCTCCTGTGCAGACACAGCATTTGCTGGGCCCCTCCCGCTGCGGGTACCCTTCTGGGTCCTGAGACGGGGCCTGGGGGAGGGGGTCACAAGAAGTGGGGTATGATGCTGAGACCAGCGACTACTTCCCCCTTGCTGCATGTGGTATGGGCACACGTACTTGTCGCTAGAGGTGGGGGTGAGAAGAGATGACTTGGATAGGCCTTCAAAGTGTAGATAGCATGTGTCTGGATAGAGAGGGAGGTGGATAAAGCTGCATAAGCTAAAGAACGAGTAGAGGAAAAGTTCAAAAAGTGCTGGAGGCCAGTGAGCAATGCTTACCAGAATCACACTCATTTGGGCTCCTTCTCGCTGCCCCCTTCAAGACTCACCGCTTTCCTGAGTCTGTGTTAGAAGTACAGGCACCTCATAAATCAGTGTCGCTGTGAAAGGGAAGCTGCCAAATGGGAACTAACACAAGAGGCCATAGCACCATCTCCTAATGCTTATGGGAAAAACCATACAAATGCATTTCCTTTTAAGGGTATCATCCATACAGTTATTTCAAACTCAACTAGAATACCTTCAGATACGTTGGTGTTGGAGGCAAATGTGTACCGCACTGACTCCCACCAATTCACTATCAAGAGGATGAAACTGCTGCCCAAGGAGAAAACCTAACTGACTTGCCAGAAGTCAATGAGTTGGACCAAAAGGTTGAAAGAATGCCCACATCTACTCTGATTCCTCCTCTTTTCACTGCTCCCAACTCCATTGTACATATTAAGTGTATGTCTGCATATGACATGCCCTTTCCTCTATTACAAGGAGCCCCAAGACCTTCAAAGTTGCCGCCTGGACAGCTGCCTGCACCCATCCTTCAATTCTTCCTAATGCTGTCATCACTGATGTGCTTGTCTGATATCATTTGCCGCTTCCTCCAGATGCCTACAAAGAATACCTGCTTTCTTATCTCTCAGCAGCACAGCTTCCTCTTGCGACCTCTAACCAGACAGTTCTATTCTTCCCACCCTCCTAATATCACTGCGCTTATTTTATTCCTGTAGAACACCCATGAAAGGTCCCTGTGGCAGAGATTGGGGGGAAATGACCTTGTTCAATTCCCTGGGCCCATGTCCAGTCTGCTGCAGTTGAGATTAGCTTAGATGTGCCCTGCATATTTTCCTTCAGACTTGAAACCACGTTGCGTTCCCAAGGGAAGAAATTATTCCATTCTCACCCAAATGGCTGCCATTCTCAGCGAGCAGTAGAGTCCTTAACTTGGCCAACCTTTGTGTCGCCAGAACCATCACAGCCATTTATTTATAAGCCCTTCTTTGGAACTCTTTAAGCACTGAGGCCTCTTTTTCCATAGCCTTTTTCCTTTAGGTACTTACATTGAGTAAAACCTTTGTGCCTAGGACAGAACAGCAAATGGGAATAGTTAAGAAAATACAACATCTGGTCATCAATATAGGAACACCTAGATCAGAAATAAATCTTAGAATAACCCTCAAATTCATCTCTTCTCACTAACTCACGGCCCAAAACACTGTTACATGCTTAGTAACACACACAGATTGTTAACAGTCTTGACAGTTGATCTCCCTACAGATGTGTCTATGACGCATCTGAGCTCCTACAAGGCAATGGCTCCTTTGTGGAGTAGTCATCTCCTGAATATTCATTTGTTTGGAGAATCTGATTTACTAAGCAACCACAATGAATTTGTTTCCGTTTTAGGCATTAGGGATACCTCAGCAAACAATGCAGATAAAACTTCTGTCCTCGTGGAGCTGTTATTCCAATTAGAAGAGCAAGCAATAAATTAGATTAATCATTAAAATACAAAGTATAGGGATCCCTGGGTGGCGCAGCAGTTTGGCGCCTGCCTTTGGCCCAGGGCCCGATCCTGGAGACCCGGGATCGAATCCCACATCGGGCTCCTGGTGCATGGAGCCTGCTTCTCCCTCTGCCTGTGTCTCTGCCTCTCTCTCTCTCTCTGTGTGTGACTATCATAAATAAATAAAAAATTTAAAAAAAATTTTAAAAAAAATAAAATACAAAGTATATGAGTGATAAGGACTAAGAAGAAAAAAAAAATCAGGCAGAGAAGGCGGTTGGTGAAAGTGGCCACGTCAGCTGTAGAAGCCAGGCCCGACTTCATGAAGAAATTTGGTTAAAAGCTGGGCAAAAAAAAAAAAAAAGAAGAAGCTGAGCTTTGCAAGTAAAGTGTGTCAAAGGCAGAGAGACAGGAAGATTGAGAGGAAAAAGAACATGAGAAAAGCATAGGGTTTAAAAAGAGATAAGCATTTTCAAGGGGCAAAAGGGAAATTGGCCTATAAGCACTTACTATATTTTCAAAGATGTGGGAGGAATGTAGAACAGATTTGTATCACAGAGGATGTTGAGACTCTATCTACCATCTCAACAAGCGAGATTCCGGCACCTGCGCTGGGCACTGTGGGCGTTCAGCTATGAAATGGTGCACCCAGGAGTTTATAGTACCAGAAGCATCCAATTTTAGGGCATAATGTCCCCAGCTGAGCAACTGAAACCAGAGAAAGGGATTGACTGCCTTTTAAATTCCCCTCATTTGCCAAAAAAAAAAAAGTTATTTGTAAGCTCAAGAGTTCTTGTGATTTAGGTGAGGGCCACTTACTCTGAGAATGAAACACAAGGCGACTCGGCCTTTGACGTTTTCTACTCTGGGCCAACTGACGCCAACCTACTCAATATCTGGAAGGTGCAGAACAGGGAAATAAACCCCGATCAAGGCTTTTTAGACTCTTTCTTAAGTTCCTTCTAGTGGCAGTTCCATCCTGTCTTTATCACCTCACAAGACCTCTGACTAAAGGATGAGTTTTCTCTGCGCCCCCTCTTTGTGGTTTCCCTGTGTCTCAAGCTTAATTTATTCATTTAATTTCCCCCCAAAGACCCAGGCAGTGGACAGAGAGCCAAGTGCTCAGGGTTAACAACGTCTCCTCCAAGTACCAACTGCGGTCTCTCCTTGGAGAAGAATAGAGGTGGGCTGGACCTAAAGCGAAAGACTAGATCTGACAACAGTTACCATGTAATACTGTTCTCTGGATATGTTTTGTCAAATATAGCAAGCAGAGGCATCCAAAACAATGCGATTTCCCTAGGAATGCACTTTATGTTCAGGATGCTCTTTTCAAAAATAGCTCTTTTAAGGGCCTATATTGTTGAACGCCTCCCTAATGGTTTTGTGTTTAGGTCTTCGAAGAATGGAAGTCTCCAGAAACTGCCGTTCTTGTTTTTTTTTGTTTTGTTTTGTTTTGTTTTGTTTTTCCTCTTTTTTTCCCCCTACTCCAACAATTAGAAGCACAGCTATAAAGATGGAGCTGTTTCTGGGAGCTCCAGGGAGTCGAAGGATAAGATCGTGAGGAGTTACTCATCCAGCATCTACTTGTTCACTGTAGTGGGTTGAGGGGGGCAAGCAGGGAAGAGGCCGGAGGACAGAGCATAAGTCAACGAATGTACATTAGCCTCAAGGGTTTTCAAGCTCTATTCAGACACCTGAGTGGTTCCTCCCCTCTTTCTTCCTCTTGGAGTAAGTGGCCATCAGGATGTATCTTTTGGAAGAACACAGAGATGTTGAGTGGGCAGTGTCACATGAGACACAAATGCATCGATGAACTGAGGCGTCAACTCCTAGCTGTGGAGAAACCCAAGTTGCTCAACCCAAGCTGACAAATTAGAAAGGAATGATCTGAAGGTCATGACTGCTAATTGCGTAAGGCAACATCTCTCTGCTGTTTGTATTACGGGATTTTTCTTTTCCAAGAGAAATCTTATGTGGACCCCTCATATATAAAACAGGAAACGGAGCGAAACAAACAACGAACTCAGAATGACTGTAGTTGGAGTGACATCCTGGCTATTGCACCTTAGAAAAGTGGTTTGAACTTTGAGATCTGGAAATTCTTCATACATCTACATGAAGACCAAATACAGTGAATTTTATCAATTGCAGGTGTAAAGATACTCTAATTTTAGTGGAAGAGTCTGGATGACCATATGCCAGCTACCGTAAGAAGTAGGAATTCTTTAAGTTAGAAGAACTTTCTTAGTGTCCCTTAAATCATAACATGTTTGAAGTTCCAAGATTTGCTGATTTGAAAGACGTAGCCCTGATATATTTCAGAGCATTTTGGGGGGTGGAGGCGGGGGGTGGGGAGCAGACAGAGGAAGGGCTGGACAGCTGGTCCCCCTTCCTGAATGAGCACAGGGATCACGCTTCATGCTCCTTCATGCAGAGCTGGGAAAATGTGGGGGGCACCGCTGGGGTGGTTTCTGAACTGAGAATGAGGGAGTTGTCCCTGTGTTTCAGTGCTCAGAACGGCATTATTGGGGCAGGAGGCCCTGAAGTCTGAACTGGAGCCATGGAGAGCTCTGTGCTGAGCCCCACGTCCTGGGAGAAACGGCGGGCCTGGCTGCGGCAGAGCCGCCACTGGCAGACCCAGGTCCTGGAAGAGGAGGCTGCGGCCGCCCTGCAAGATGTCTCAGATCCTGAGCCTTCCAGCCTGGATGATGTTTTCCAGGAAGGTAAGAGGCAGTTAGACAACAGACAGACTTCCACATCGCCCTGGGCCCGGGGAGACGTGCCAGCAGGCACAGGTCTGCAGAGTGTGGGCGGAGGTCCCTTGTTGGGGTTAGGACTTCAGGGAGGCTCATGTGGATGGGTTTAATGAATTTAAAGGAAGAAGAATAATGTAATACAAAATATGAATTATGGGAGAGAGAGGGAGGCATACAATCAGGGAAAAGAAAGGACATTTGTGCATCATCCCAAGAAACTGTAAGGGCCTGAGGTCAGGGTTGTCTTGAATGCTTTGGGTGTTTTTATTTGGTCTGTGCAACAAAGTGATGCTCGATTTGGATGCCTGGACTCTGGCTGCAAGCCTGCTGCTAGCGAGCCGCGTGACTTTTGGCAAATCACTTACCTCTCAGACATATTGGTCTAGTTGAAGTGGTGGTACCTGGAGTAGTAGTAGTACTTTTCCTACATGTCTTTCAGAGCTTCTTTGAGGTTCAAATGAGACTGCAGACATAAGAGTTAGAAAAAAGAAAACCTCACATAAATAAATAAACCTCTTATATAAATATGTAAATAAATTCTTGCTTATCTGGCAAAAAAAAAACAGAAGCACAAACACAAGATCGTGAGGTTTTGGGGTTTTTTTTTCTTTTTATTTATTTTTTATTATATATATATATATATTTTGAAGTGAAATATAAACTTTATTCAGTCATTTCCACTCTGTCCTAGTCAACAGGATTCTCCTTGTTGAATCATTCTTCTGCATAGCAATGACTGAAGCAATAATACCTGCAAAAAGATCTGAAGACATAGCTAAGTTTATGAGGATAAAGGAAAGTTGTTTTTTTTTTCCAATTTCACTTCATCTTTGACCCCATATTCAAGGATCCTCAACAGGAGTGAATATGAGTGAATATTTTTTATTATATTTTAAGGAGAAGAACCCACCCCTGTACCCAAACCTTGGGGAAAAGGGAGTAGTGAACCTGTTATCCAGGGCACATTCCAGGTTCTGGGAGCAAGAGGGGGTTAGACAGAGAGAGAAGAAGCATCCACTATTTTTATACTCGGGTATATTCCTCTCATGTCTTAAAGAAAATTTTTATGGGGGGAAAGGGTCATGACATGGCTCACATGATGATGAACTTGCAGAACGAGGTGAGTTGCAGGGAGGAAGGGACCGCCTTCAGCTCTCATGATGATCTGACCTCTGACATTTCCAGGGAATCCAATCAATAAGATTGAAGATTGGCTGCAGGATTGCGGGTAAGTGCTGAAGAGGCCATGGCAGCGAATGAGGTAGACATCTGGATGTGCTTGCGGGCTCTGACTCTTGAGAACTCAGAAACAGGGAAACCGGGTTGAGTTGGGCCTAATGATTCGAGGTGACGTTGAGATGGTCGGGGTGGGCAGGATTGTAAGGGTTTGGGGGTGAGTGTGGGGACTGGGCTACGAATGAAGTACAACTCTGGGCGGAGATGAAGTCCAAGAGTATCTGGAAATCCAGGCTGAGTATGATCTAAAGCCCAGAATGATGGAAATCTGCAGCTCTGGTGCCTGCCTGGGCTGAGTTTCAGGTCCCTAATCCATTGCTTCTCCTTCAGACTAGAGTCTTGCACTGTGTAAGGAAAGAGGAGTTAGAAATCTAGTTGTCCTTGTGATCCCCGGAAGTCATCACTATGTTTGTTTCTACTGCACAACACAGGATGATGGGCTAGGGTTTACCCCAGTCATTCAAAGCAGTGACCTGGAGCAGGTTCTTCAAGGCACATTTTAGGCTCAGTCTACCCAGACACAGAGGGAAAGCTTCTGAGATCAGCGCCCTGGCGAAGCCTGATCATTCGTGTGATAATTCTGAGAATCTGTAACTCCTGCCTGCACCTTCTTTCCTCTCCAGGAATGCTTCAGACTTTACATAGCCTTTAATCTGAGCTCACCCATGGATGTGCAATAAACCCATCCTTGATTATTTGGTAGGAAATAAATAGCACTGAATCATCTAAGGTTGTTTATTTCCACTCTGCCCCAGAAGGTAATGCCGGGAAGGATTTATTTTGTGTTTTTGTGGGTTTACAAAGCATACTGTCCTTATTGCCTTAACCTGGTTCACAATTTATTGACCTCAAAGTCCAAGAAGGGCCCCTTACAGCTCGAGAAGTGAAGGGACGGCGGTAATAAGAATGTTTGCACGTTTTGGCATGTTGCAACTGCCCCAGGATTTGGAACGACTCACCTGGTATCTGCAGAACCAGCCAACTCAGTTAATGTCTTTATGCCATTAACGACTCTTGAGTCCGTTTACATCAATAATTGTTGACGGTGCATTTGCTGATGTCTAATTGCCTAAATGACTGACAAGAGGGCCACGTCGTGTAAAATATGCCTCTTGACTTCAAACATACTATCTTCCAGCTAAAAAGAATACAGTAATATAAGATTGTAAACCCCAGAAATTACCTTTCCTCACCTATCTTCTACAAAGATAAACTCTAAACCAAAGCATGTGCTGGAAATGTAGCCTGGTGAATCCGAAGGCTCAGAGAGTTGAGCCTACGCTTGTGTTAACCATCTGTGCCACCAACTGTAAGAAAACAACCAAAACTCCTTCTGTCTCAGGCTCCTCCCCTATAAAGTGGAGACTCAGAATAATAAAGTCTCAAGTTTTCTTATGAGACTTAAATGATATAATATATGCCCAAGCGCTTTGGGCTCTGTAGTAAAATGTGAGCAGTGAGGTTTATAAAGGACGGGCTTTGTGCTACTTTAAAATTTCACAAATTAGGTCTGCCTATATACTTAGCATCTGTCTGTCTACACTTCACTATTTCTCAGAAAAGTATGTCCAGAAGTGATACGCACCAACTCTTGGATAGTGGTTACCTCTGGGAAGGGAAAAAGTAAGAAGCAATGGGCATAAAAATGAGACTTTAGTTATATTTTTAATATTATACTTATATTTTCATTAACAGAGATCAGAAATGAATATGACAAAATGCTTACATGTATGAAAATAAAGCAGCAAGTACTAGAGTATTTGTCATATTTTCTCTACCTTTCTATGTGTTGAAAAAATTTTAGTATTTACACTTTGGAAAGCCCACAGGAAAGTCTCTTAACACACATTTGTCTCTGCAGGGGAAATTATTAGATTCATAAAATATCTCCAATTTTTTTTCTATTTTCTAATCCTCCCTAATATATACGCAATACTTTTTAGTTATACGGGGAAATTAGAAAAATTAAAGGATGATGGTTGTTGATGGTAGTGAGAGAACACTCGATTGTGATAATAGTGGAAAAAAAAAAAAGGAGGAAAAGGCATTCCAGATATGCCATTGTGAGTCCCCAGGGTGTTCAATTCTTAGGCTGTCAAGGCCGCAGAGGAAAGAGGATAAACAGGGTGAATGTCCTGCATTCACCGGACATCTGTCCACTCTGTGGGCAGGTGCCTGGGAGGCACTTTTCAAATTTTACTCTAAGACTATATAGTTTCCGTCTTCTTTCCAGGCCAAACACCTCCAGTAGCAAGACAGTTTTGTTTTCTGCTGAGCTCTCCAAGAAAGCCCACCAACTTCCTGAGTAATATAGCGTTAGTGTCTCTCAGTGTATTGAATCCAGTGGCAGACCTGTCAGTGGCAGGTCCAGATCATGTAGATTTTTACAAACCATGCCTGTTCTTTTTTTTCCTCCTCCCAAGGCTCTCGGGTTTTCTAAGACATGAATGTGTTGCTTGTGAATCATTGGAGATAGGGGTTAGGAGCTCAGAGGTTATCTGTGTGGGCTTAAGCTTAAATCTCTGTAGGCAAAGTCTATGGAAATTGCTGGAAGAAGTTAAAAATAGTCACATCTGTCTCCCAATCTGATCCTCTTTCCCACTTTTGTTAATGAATCGGGTATACAGGAGGAGTGGTGCCTCGGCTCTTCTATCTCAGACTTGAAATGATGCTAAGGTACATCTCAGTGGAAGACGGAGGGAGAGGAGCAGCTGTAGATCTAGTCCCTAGTCATCGATTTTATGTCCTAAGTAATAACCCATGAAAAGGGGGATCCCTGGGTGGCTCAGCGGTTTGGCGCCTGCCTTTGGCCCAGGGCGCGATCCTGGAGACCCGGGATCGAATCCCACGTCGGGCTCCCGGTGCATGGAGCCTGCTTCTCCCTCTGCCTATGTCTCTGCCTCTCTCTCTCTCTCTCTCTCTCTCTCTCTCTCTCTCTGTGACTATCATAAATAAATAAATAAATCTTTAAAAAAAATAACCCATGAAAGGCCTGGGACTTGGGTGATGGCATGGAATTTTAAGTCAACTTCAGCTCAATCAGTAGATCCAGGTGCATGTCCCTGCTTCCATGGTAGATTCCACATGCGCACAGCTCATCCTGGGCTCGTCCTCATATAGAGAATATGCACACGCCTGCCAGGGCACAACTAGAGAAGAGAAGTGTAGGATGAGCATCCAACACAAACTTGTATCGACTGAAGAGCACTGAGTCTGCTTAGACGAACCAGAAATTTTATCAGAGCTATGTTCTTTTTAAATTTCAAAAGGAACCTTTCCTTTATGCTGAGTGAAGTAAGTCAATCGGAGAAGGACAAACAGTGTATGTTCTCATTCATTTGGGGAATATAAATAATAGTGAAGGGGAATGTAAGGGAAGGGAGAAGAAATGTGTGGGAAATATCAGAAAGGGAGACAGAACATAAAGACTCCTTTATTTATTATTATTTTTTTAAGATTTATCTGTTTACTTTAGAGAGCTAGAAAGAGGAAGAATGAGCAGGAGGGGCAAAGAGAGAGGGAAACGGAGAATCTCAAGCAGGCTACCCACTGAGCATGGTGCTGGACATGGGGCTCTATCCCACAACCCCGAGATCATGACCTGAGCCAACACCAAGAAGCAGACACTTAACCTACTGAGCCACCCAGGTGCCCCATCAGTGGTATTTTTTAATGTAAATTTTATGGAAGTATAGCACACCTGTCGTAGCATTTTTCTTTTTAATATAATGTAGTGCAACTCAACGGGCATTAGTTTCGGTTACGCCAGATGAGTAAGTTTTAGAGATCTGTGCAACATAGTGCCTATGGTTAGCAATGCAGTACTGCGCACTTCAAAATTGGTTGATGGTAGCTCGTGTTAAACGTTCTTACTTCTGGAAAGAAAAAGTCAAAGGGAAGCAAGGATATCCTGGGAGATGTTGGATATGCCTGTTACCATAATTGGTGATGGTACTGTGGGTGTTTGCGTGTGTCCAAACTCTTTAAATGGTATATACTAACGATGTACAGTTCTTTGTAAGTCGGTTATACCTCAACAGAGCTGTTGAAATAATAGCCATATAAGTTATATTGAAAAATAAAATATTTACTGAAAAGAATATATAAATATATAATATATATTTATATTAGAAATATTATAGGGATCCCTGGGTGGCACAGTGGTTTAGCGCCTGCCTTTGGCCCAGGGCGCGATCCTGGAGACCCGGGATCGAATCCCACGTCGGGCTCCCGGTGCATGGAGCCTGCTTCTCCCTCTTCCTATGTCTCTGCCTCTCTCTCTCTCTGTGTGACTATCATAAATAAAAATTAAAAAAAAAGAAATATTATAAATATATTTATAATATTATATTTTATAAATATTATAAATATATTTATAAATTATATTTATTTTTTATATTTATATATGTATTTTATATTTATATAAATATATTTATAAATATATAATATATACGTATATTTATATATAATATATATGATATATTATAAAATATATAAAATTATAAAATAATATATAAATAATATATATAATACATAAAAATATATAATATAATAATATATAAATAATAATATCAACAAGTATTAAATATATAGCCCAGTGAGTTTTTTCAAAGAGAACACACCAATGACACCTGAAGCAGAACATTACCAGCATTCCAGAAGCCTCCTCCTGGAAGGTCTCCATCCATTCACGACCCTGCTTCCAAGGGTAACCAATAACCTAACTTATAGAATCACAGATAAATTTTGCACCTTTTAAACTTGATATAAATAGAATTACACAATATGTACCACTGTATTTTTTTTATTGCAGTATACTTGACATACACAATTATATTAGTTTCAGGTGTAGATTATAGTGATTCAACAATTCTATACGTTATGAAATGCTCACCATGATGAGTGTGGTCACTATCTGGCACCGTATAAAGTCATTACAATATTATCGACTATATTTCCAATGCTGTACTTTTCATCCTTGTGACTTATTTCATAACTGGAGGTTGGTACCTTTTCCAATATGTAGTGTTCTATGTCTGTTTCTTTTACTCAGAATATTTGTGATGTTTGTCCTTTTTTTTTGCATACCACAATGAGCCATTCTTTTTTTATTATTGTGAAGAATAAATTGTATATTTATCATACAATTTATCCATTTTACAATGAGATTTTATATCTCTCAGTTCTGGGTTATAATGAATATTATTTCTTTTGGTGAACACATATAGGCATTTCCATTGAGTATAGACAGTGGAATCGTAGTGTATTTTAGTTGTAGCTATAATAAAAGTAGGCTTTGGTGCTCGCATTACTGTGTAGCTGCAGCCCAAGCATTAAATGCAAGACTAAAGCTCAGTATTCTCATCGTTGGCAATATAAATTATGGTATTTTTAGTAGTAAATAGTAAAATATGAATTTATACTGATATTTGTAATAGTATATAGACTAATATTTTTGTTTGTGACATTATATTAAAATACATTTTTTATGTAATTATCCATTAGAGGAAAGAAGCACATATTTGTAGTTTTAGTTATCTTATTAGTTACTCATTCTCAATTAGCTTGAGTATCATTTCACATTTTATCATGTGAAATTCAGTGATGCACATTTTTTTTTCACAAAAGACATAAAAATTCAGTTTGGAAAGCATGGTTGATTTTTCACTATTAAAAGGAAGGTAGCAATAAAAGATGTCTACATATGCAGTGATTTATTTTGTAAAACTTAAACACAGCTTGATCTACAGATGTTCGATTAGTAAACTCATTGCCATCATTAAACATTTCATCGAATGATTACATACTGAGATTAGATTCAAAGCATCGTGTGCAACTTCCCTTTTAAAATTTTTCAGGAAAACAAACTCTATAAAACCCACACAACGCATTAGTCCTTGAAACAGACTTAGATAATGCTCCCAGCGAGGGATCCAAGTTCCCCTGTGTACAGCAGCCAGGAAGCAGGAGTGTCAGCCAAGAGCTCTGGTCCCAGCTCAACACTTTCCATAGATTGCTTCGCTCACCTGTTTTAGACGCAGATTTTATTTATTTATTCATGAGAGACACACAGAGAGAGGCAGAGACACAGGCAGAGGGAGGAGCAGGCTCCATGCAGGGAGCCCGACGTGGGACTCGATCCCGGGACTCCAGGACTACGTCCTGGGCCAAAGGCGGATGCTTAACCGCTGAGCCACCCAGGGATCCCTGAGATTGTAAAATTTTGATAAGACCCTATCTATCTTCAAATGCAAAGTTAAAATCTCTATCCCAGATGCAGTTTCTGCTGCTCCCTGGGAGACGTGACCATCAGCAAGTACATGGCTCAGAGAAGAAGCTGACCTCCAGAAAATTGAAAATATCAATATCTGTATCTGTGATGTCACTCAAGCCCTTGCTTATATAGATGTATTTCTCTGGTGTTGTTTCTATGTTCCTTCTTTCCTATTTTACTGCACCAGCTGCAGGCTTGGTGCTGGCTACGCTGACTGCGGACAGTGTGATCAGTACGATGGCAGCACAGTCTACGGGTTATACACAGAACACGGCACAATGCAGCCCAAGATACAGTGCACTTCAGGCCCACTTCCCCTGACTACTTCTATGAATTTGTCAAATAACGACTCTTAGATTTCCTCAACATAAAAGCAATTAAACACTGCTGAATTTCGTTGGAAATTCATGTGGACTTGTGGAACATATTTGAGGAAAGGCCCCTTGGAAAATGTTGTGATTTCAACCCATAAGATTATTTTTGATCCTCAGATACTCTGAAGAAGGGTTTTTTGAGGAAACAGGACAGTCAGGCTACAATGGTGAGTACAGGCTCTGTTATTTCATCTGTTGTTCTATCTGGACAGTGACACGGCTCTGTGTAAGTGTGTGTGTGTGTGAGTGCTTGCGTGTTTATGTACACGCATAAAAATGTGGGCTGCCTTTTAACTGCCTGCAAAATAACCATTGGTCACAAGGCAGTCCGGGAGGTCCAAAAGATAGAGTAAATGTCGGCTCAGAGCTGACAGGCTGACTAATACTCAAAGATTATCTTCTGTTAGTGATTGCTCAGCCAACAGCCAGTGCTATGGGAAAACAGCTCTGTAAGATGTATGGGAGTGCACACCCCCACGTGCCCACTATTCGACAGAGGATTGTGTACATGGCTATGTGATACAGGGTGCAGGTTAATGACAGGTGACTGTTTATGTCTCTCTAAATCAAAATACGAATGTGGCTTCTGAGGTCGTATGTGTATAGCTGGGGGGAGGGTTTGCAATCGTGATGCCTGATGCGGTTACGTGGTGGCAGGTATGCATATATGCAGATGTGTGTGTGTCCGTGTGTGTATACAAGCCTATTTTCTGTGAGCTTTGTTTGCCTTATTTGACAGGATGCCTCAGCCATGGAACCAGCTTTGAAGATGACTTGACCCTAGGAGCAGAGGGTAGGTGGCCAGCCCTCTGATGTCAGAATCAAGGAAGAGGCTACGCATGAGATTGACTAGGGATAGAATGGAAGGGAAGAATCATTAGAAACGACAAATAGTCAATCGGAGAAGGACAAACATTATATGTTCTCATTCATTTGGGGAATATAAATAATAGTGAAAAGGAATATAAGGGAAGGGAGAAGAAATGTGTGGGAAGTATCAGAAAGGGAGACAGAACATAAAGACTCCTAACTCTGGGAAACGAACTAGGGGTGGTGGAAGGGGAGGAGGGCGGGGGGTGGGGGTGAGTGGGTGACAGGCACTGTGGGGGGCACTTGATGGGATGAGCACTGGGTGTTATTCTGTATGTTGGTAAATTGAACACCAATAAAAAATAAATTTATTATTAAAAAAAATAGAAACGACAAATACCCACCATTTGCTTTGACGTGGATGGAACTGGAGGGTATTATGCTGAGTGAAGTAAGTCAATCGGAGAAGGACAAACATTATATGGTCTCATTCATTTGGGGAGTATAAATAATAGTGAAAGGGAATAAAGGGGAAAGGAGAAAAAAATAAGTGGGAAATATCAGAAAGGGAGACAGAACATGGAAGACTCCTAACTCCAGGAAACGAACTAGGGGTGGTGGAAGGGGAGGAGGGCGGGGGGTGGGGGTGACTGGGTGGCGGGCACTGAGGTGGGCACTTGGTGAGATGAGCACCGGGTGTTATTCTGTATGTTGGCAAATTGAACACCAATAAAAAATAAATTCATTATTAAAAAAATAATAAAAATACATAAAATAAAATAAAATAATAAAATAAAATAAAATAAAATAAAATAAAAAGGAAGGGAAGAACCATAGAAAGAAGCAACCCATTCCCCGCAGTCATACCTGTAGGGAATGAGCAGCCTCATCATGATCTAACGTAGAGCCCATAAAGCTTCTTGAGCCCAGGAACACTTCCTCACCAGCCTGATGTGACATCCACCAGTCCATCATTAGGGCTCTCATCTGGCCCCTGGGAAGACAATATAGAAAATCACCAACTCCAATTAAAATATATATATATTATTTATATAAAATAAATAATAATATTAAAATATAATAAAAATAAAAATATAAAATAGTGATATTAAAATATATATCATATATATATAATTTGTGTTTTGGGGTTTTTTTTGTTGCCAATTCATTTTTTAAATTGAAAAATTTTATTCATTTTTATTTTAAAAAATAAAAGGAACTGAGGCTGGCTGCAAATGTTCAGCTTCCTGTCTGACCACAGGGCCCCGTGGGATATAATATTTTGATCCTTATCCAAACGTCACCAAGTAGCCATTGAAATCATTTTAATCAGAGTACTGATTGTATCACACATAAAATTTAACTTGATCTCCAAGCTGACACCTAGGTTATGCTCCAGTAAAGAATCTTTGTCATAAAAGAAAGAAAGAAAGAAAGAAAGAAGAAAGAAAGAAAGAAAGAAAGAAAGAAAGAAAGAAAGAAAGAAAGAAAGAAAGAAAATCACCACGACATTGGCTGCCCAGACATCTCTGAAGCTGTTGTCTGTATCGGAAGCCCAAAGCAGCTTGAACACTGGGCGTAAACAGGAGACCACACTGCAAGAAGAGAAGAGCTTGAATGAAGGATGGAGATATAGCAATGGACCAGTGTCTCCCGGGACCTGTGGAGGCTTACGCTGTGAGGCGGGAACTCCAGCCTAGAGGGCTGAATGATGTCCTCCTCCTCAGGACAGAGAAACTCTCGCCTCAACACCTGACACAGTTTATAAGTTCAGAGGCTCAGGGCCTCTTGTTCCCTGCTGTACCTGCCCCTTCTAGATGGACGTTGGGTGAACTGCAGATACTCCCACAAAGAGCAGAGAGCTCATGGGGTTCAGCTAGCCTGTAGTGGTGGCAGACTGCAGTGAGGGGGGGGCTGAGTTTTACATCCAGAGAGGCAGCTGAGATGATTTCCATTTCCCCTTCTAACTTTCTCTTTGCCTTTCTCTTCCTTGTCCAGCCACCCTACTGGCCGCCAATGGCAAAGTCTTCTCCAGGTAAGCGTTAGGTTTACACAGATTGCCTGGTGTCTTCTTCAGGAGCTACTGAACTGGTGTAGGCATCAGAGTCAAAGAGATGAAAGATAAAGAGCTCAAGAGTCACAAGGGAAAGTGAGATTTTCCAACCGGGAATGAGGCCCTAGACTGAGTTTTCCCGGTAGATGGTAGAAGGTACCCAGAAGACAATGTCTTGGATCCCAGGCACAGAATGCTCACAAGCTTACTATGACATCAACTCTGATCCCTGTAGGAGCTTCCTGGAGACAGCCCGGCCCTGCCAGCTACTCAATCTTGGCTGCAGTTTGGCTTCCAGCAGCATGACTGGTGGGACCAACAAGACTAGTTCAAGGTAGGTGCTGGGTTTGGTAGGGGTGTAAGAGTGGGGAAGATGAGAGGCAGAAGAGAATGGAACCAAGAACAATTACCCAATTCTTCTGGGATAACTTACTGGGGGTTTTATCCACTCACATACTTGAGAAGTATGACTGTTTGCTTCAAGAACACTGGGAGATGCAGAAGGACTTACTGCTCCGAGCTGGATGCTCTGTAACATAGAGGTGACCTTGTACACCAGGAGGTGTAGCATGGGTGTCACCACAGTTCCTGGACTTATGGGAAGTACTCAATTACTCAATAAACGAACAATATATGTTTTGATTGATTGATTGATTGATTGTCTAATTCACTCAGGCAATTCTCTGTCCCCAAATGCCGGCCAGGTAATGACTACATGGAAATTGAAAAGATGAAGCAAAGTGCTTGCCCTTAGGAGCTTAATAATCAGGGTGAACAAAAGGCACACACAAGTTTAAAGGAAGGTGGAAAGTGATGAAAACTAAGGCAGTATAATAAAAAAAAGTGTTGGAATTTGGTGTCAAAGTGTGAATTTGAGACCTAGTTCTCAGATTTATCAGCCATGTAGCTATCTATAGTGGTTTGTCCTCACTGAGCCACAGCCCTGGCCACATCCCACTTCAATTAAGTCAGAATCTCTGGAGATGAGGCTCAGATATCTGCGCGTTTTCATTGAAGCATACTTGACATGCCATGTTTCACTCCTTTCAAGGGTACAACATAGTGATTGGACAACTGTACACATTATGCTATGGTCACAGCGATAAGGGTAGTCACCATCTGTCACCATACAATGTTGTTACAGTATTACTGACTATATCTCCTATCCTGTACCTCTCATCCCCATGACTTATTTATATGACTTATTTATATGGAGTGGGTAGTTATTGAGCTCTCATGTCACCCAGCTTGGTGGTACACAGATTTGGATGTAGATACACGTGAGAGCAATACCAAGAGAGTGATCTGTAGTGCAAGGCTGCTGTCCTGAAAACAGTGCTACAAAGGGGTCTGCCCCTCAAAATCAGGGTTTTTTTTTTTAAGATTTTATTTATTTATTCATGAGAGACACAGAGAGAGAGGCAAAGACACAGGCCAAGGGAGAAGCAGGCTCCATACAGGGAGCCTGACATGGGACTCCATCCCGGGACCCCAGGACCAAGCCCCGGACCAAAGGCAGACGCTAAACCACTGAGCCTCCCAGGGATTCCCTCAAAATTAGGTTTTGAACATACCTACATTGGTTAATTTTTACTCTCAGGGTAAAAATAAAGAGTTTTGTGTTTCTTACACACTTCCTACCTAGTTGTCCCACACAACCATTAGGCAGGGACAAAAGCCAGCCAAACCATGGTGTGTGCAGGTGGGAAGCAATAAGTTAATAATAGAACCACAAGATTTCTTTAAATCTAGAATGATTTTGATTTTTTATATCCCTCTCATAGCAAATTTTCATTCATCAGTAATGATGTGGAAAGTATTCCGATAGGGGCGCCTGGAGGGCTCAGTTGGGTAAGCGTCTGCCTTCTGCTCAGGTCATGATCCTTGGGTCCTGGGATCCAGCCCTGCATGAGGCTCTCTTCTCAGGGAGAGTCTGCTTCTCCCTCTCCCTCCAACCCTCTTCCTCCTTGTGCTCTTGCTTGCTCGGTCTCTGTCTCTCTCTCAAGTAAATAAACTCAATTTTTAGAAAAATTAAAATAGTATGATAGACTCTAATTCAATTTCTAAACCAGGTCTGGACCGTAATTCCCATGTTTCAGACATGAAAATGTGGGTTCACAGAAGTGAAAGCTTTTCTCCAAGTCAGCATGGAAGGTAGATCAGAAAGGTAGTTCAGTCTCCAGACAATTTTACTAAATCCTCTGGATGATCTCTCTCTCTCTCTCTCTCTCTCTCTCTCTCTCTCTCTCTCTCTCTCAGCATCTCTGAGATTCTGGACAAGGTGCAAGAAGACGCAGAGGATGTCCTCTTCAGTCTGGGCTTTGGCCAAGAGGACCACAAGGATACTTCGCGGATTCCTGCCCGATTTTTCACCACCCCCTCTCAGGCCAAAGGCATTGATTTCCAGCTCTTCCTGAAGGCCCAGGTGCGGAGGATTGAGATGGAGGACCCTTGCCTCATGCTGGCCAGTGAGTGTTCCCATAGATCTCTATTTCTCTGCCATTCACGAACAGGGATCGGTGGCTCCAGATCCTACTTTCTCTCCGTCAGTTTCACTCTACACTTTGTCTCCTGTGTCTGTGTCCTGGCATCTTGTTTTCAGTAAAGATGGAGAACTTTGATGTCTGCTTCTCTCTCTTAAAGAAATAATCATCAGGAGACCTCGTACCACTATTGCTCTCTTAGGCCTTCTCCCCTTTAGTTGAATCAAATGCGAACAGTGTCTTTAAATCTTATACCTGCTTTTATTTCTCATTTGGAACAACAGAATGTTCCCCACTTACAGCCACTGTATTAAAATCATTTCCTTTTAGGGCAGCTGTTCTCAAAGTTAAATATATTAAATTGTCCATAGACTTTATAAAATATTCATATTCACAGGCTACTTTTTTTACATGAGGGAAAAGGCTCAGAAGCATTTATTTTAAACATGCACACAGGATTCTTATGTGTAATCCTTAGACCACATCCAGCAAACAACTACTTAAGCTGTCCTGATTCCATACTAAGGAAAGATATGAGAGGGTTTCTCTAGCTCGATGAGAAATAAAATATTCTCTATGTTAGAATACATTTCAAACTATAGTCTGCTACATCCCCAACATTGTGTTCCTGATAGTTTGTTTCAGATTCTTTGCATCAGATTCAACTTAAAATAAGCTTGGCAAAACTACACCCCTGAGCTCTACCTGCCGTAACAAAGATTTTGAGTTGGAGGATTTCCACGACTTTAGATGATTCTTAGGTGCACTAAAATTAGAGTGTAATTGATTGAATTCATTTTATGTGCCAGGTACAAAATTAGGTGTTAAATTCTGTAAGAACAGACTAGACAAGAGAAACATGATTCTTGCCTTTTGGAAGCTCACAGTTTTTTAAGAGATGAAAAGCACTTATCATAGTGCTTTTCAAACATGGGTGTGCATATGAATTATCAAAGGATATGGTTAAAATGCTCAAGATACAGTCTAAGATTCTACATTTATAACAAGTTCCCAAGCAGTGCCAATGTTTTTAGAGTAGGGACCATATTTTGTGATGCAAGGTCTAATAGAATGATAAAGTCATGAGTGTGAGCACATGGGGCATAGAGTTTACTTCAAAAAAAAAAGTGACATCAAAATTTCTGTACCCTAGTCCATTGGCTAGTAATTGACATTACTTCAATTTGTTATTACTCAGAAGCCTTCTAGGACCCTAAAGATTTGTTACTAAGAAAATGAGATTGGTTTTGTCCTTTTTGGGGTCATGTCTATCATCTAAAACACACAGCAGCAGAAGCCATAGTTTAGAATATAATGACAACCGAAAAGATATGTTAAATCAAGAAGTAGAAAAGTTCCTCATCCCATATGGAATTAATTTTTGGACTGAAGGAAAATGTCTGTTCAGGATGGGGAGTCAAGGAGTCAAGAAAGGGGATCCTGGGTGTGAGAACCTAAATGGGAGAAACACTGGTGGGGAAAATGACATCTTCTTCCCGAATTTTGAGCCTTAGAAAGGCTATTGAAGGAAGAGATACAAGAGGTAATTTGCCGATGGCCCTCAGATTCACCATCTTCAACCTTTGTGTCCAGGCAGGTTTAAGCAAGTGCAAACACTGGCTGTCACTGCTGACGCCTTCTTCTGTCTCTACTCCTATGTGTCTAAGACACCTGTCCAAAAGTTCACACCATCCCACATGTTCTGGAATTACAACCCAACCGATGTGCCATCTATCAGGATTCTGGCTCCAGAATCTGAACCTCACTCACCCAGAGAGCGCCTCCGGAAAGCCATATCCAAGATGTGCCTGTATACAAGCCCCAGAGATCGACTGTCATCACTCCATAATATCCCCAAAAGGAACAGTTTGGACCAAGTGGTATGGGAAGTAATGGACAGAGTGAAAGGAGAGAAGCTGGTCTTCCAGCAAGACCCTGGATTTGGGCCAGGCTCAGAGGAAGATCTTGTGCCCTTTGTCAGGGAAACAAAGCTGCCCACTTCTTCTGGTCCATGTGCCCTTTGCCCGAAAGAGGGGATGTCCACAATGCAAGCACTATCACAGACTCTGGATCCTAAACCAGAGGCAACCTGTTGCACACATTCTCTGCCCAGAGCAGATCTACAGTGGAGCACAGACCCTGCACAGGTAAAGAGAGAGCTTTGGGGTCTACAGGCCACCAATAAGGAAGTCCATAGAGCCGACGATGAGACTTTCTGGGAAAGAAAGAGCAGAGCAAGAAAGAGCTTGTTTCAAAAGAATCCCATGGGCAGGACGGTTAAGTCATTGGACCTGTCCATCAACCAGCAGAGCGAAGAGCAACCAGCCCTGTACCGGTCTCTAACCCCGCAGCTGCAGGACACTTGTGACTTGGAGGAGGTGAGTGGGTTGGGAGTAAGAGAGAGACTGGCAGAGAAAGATTCTGGATTTTTGCCTTTGGGTAAAGGGAATCCAGGCCCCTGGTCCTCACCAGATATAACAATTCTCGAATTACATTAAGAAACCTTTGGGAACAGGTTAGTAGAGATGGAGAAAGATAAATAGACTTGATTTCTTAATAGCATCCAGCTTTTCAGAGCTTTTCCATTTCCTCATCCGAGCTGATCTTCATTGGAGTTCCTCATCACACCTGGCTCTGTCATTTATGGGATCCACACAAGAGTACGAATAGAGGTTGGTTATACACCATGCGAAATGCTATTGAATAAAATATGGTCTCTTCCACCTTAATAAATATGTAACCATAAATACATGGAAGCCCAGGTTCAAATTTAATATTCTCAGACTCTTAAGACTTCTGTGCAAGAACATGGCAGCGTGAGCAGAGCCACTCCCCGGCTCTGGCTTGTCCTCTTCTCTTCCCACGCCCAGATCTGCCCTAAGCCATAAAGGACTTTGCACAGAAGTGTGTGAGCACCTGGCCTGCATATCCAAAAGCCACACACCCTCTACGCACACAAATAGCCTTCTACTGGTCATCGGTCATGCCTGAGGGTGCATACACTAGTAGAGAGGTTAACCCTTTAAGACAAAAGACACCAAACAAAAGCAGTGCAATTGCCTGAGGCAGACTTAGAAGCATCTCAGCAGCGTATTTGGGTATCCTGTGCAACTAGAGCATGTTCTAGAAGGGGTAGTGCAGGGTCCAGGTGTGCCCATTCTGTTGGCCCACCCGCTCTTCATCCTGTGGACTCTCGAGATTCCTCTGGTCTGGGACTATTTGCAGTACTGCCATCAAGTGCTGAGCTCTCTTACAAAAAGATCTCAGATCCTTGCCACCAAGAGAAGCTGAGACGATTTATAATATTGTTTACATACATGTCACCTACCACTGGGCATGGAGCTGCACCTCAGCTCCTGACTTCCTCACTACCACACATTCCTGCCGCAAGAGAAGAAGCCGAGTCTCCCAAGTACACTCAGCCTCTTTCCCCTACAGCCACCTGCCCTCTGAGACTTTTCCCCACTGGCCCTGAGTTCTGCTGGGATCTTGGTTACAGGTGCACAGCCACGGTGAGAAGGAAGAGCTGCTGGCCCGATGCTCCCAGACACCTCCACCTGCACCAGACTTCTGCTAACAAAGACTCAAAAAGTAAGTAGGTCTCTCTCTCTCCTTTCTTTCTCTCCCCCTCCCACCCTCCTTCAGGCAGTGATTCTCAAACCTGGCTACATACTGCATTTATCCAGGAAGATTTTTTTAAATACCCACAACCAAGTGCCCCCTCATCCTGTGATTCTGACTTAATTGATATGGCATGGAAAGCAGTGCCTGATTTTTTTTTTTTTTGTTTTTGAGCCCCTCAGGTATTTCTATTATGGCTGGTTAGATACTTCTCTAGATTAGTGGTTCTCAGACGTTAGCATCACCCGGTGGGCTTGTTAAAATGCAGATGTCTGGGCCCCAAATCCCAGTTTCTGATTGAGAAACCCTCCACAGGGCCCAAGAATTTGCTTTTCTAACAAGTTCCCAAGTGATACTGATGCTGTTGGCCTGGCAATCACAGTCTGAGAAGTGTTCTAGGGTAAATTCTGTATTGCCTTAATATTCGGAGTGTAGCCTGCAGACCAGCAGCATTAGCATCACTTGGGATTTTGTTAGAAATGCGGAATCCCAGACCGCACACCCGAATTAAGGTATCACAATTTTATCAAGATCTTTAGGTGATTTATTTGCATGTTGAAGTTTGAGAAGCACCGCTATAGTTTTTTAACAGGCGAGAACCAACCGTAAAGAGCTTCATCCCAGCTCCTGCTTATAGAGACATTCTAATCAGCCTACATCACCACGTGGGGAAAACCCCAGGTATCTCACAGCCATGTTCCCTTAGGCTTTGAGTTTCTTCCTGCAGTGAGGGTTTGATGTCCTTCGCTCTCCTTCCCTTGTTAATTAAGGAAGGACAGTGAATAACCACAAAAATGGTTACTGCAGTTAAAATGTCTTTCCATACGACTTTTGTGCATTATATCAGAGGTATCCCTTATACCTTCGGATATTTTGGCTGAAGATTTATTATTTAAACTAAGTATAAATGCAGCTCCTGTAGTTTTTGTCACCTATCCCCTAGTACCACAGAGAAGATGGCATCAGGAGTGAATGAACGATTGAATGTATGAATGAATGAATAAATAAATGCTTTTTTCCAAGATAGTAGAAATTGATATCCTTCTTCAATCAAGTCAATGAGTCTTGCTTAGAGTTCCCTCAATTTCAAATGTCTTAGTTTACCATACTTCCTGGACCGATAGTTATTTTGGGTGAATACTCTAAAGCTGCAGTGTTGCTTTTCCAGAATCTCAAAGATCTTTACAATTCTAACTCTTTTAATCTTCATTCTCAGTGATTTTAGGGCCCTAGTCACTCTTCTTTCTATTTATTTATTTATTTATTTATTTATTTATTTATTTATTTATTAAACAATTTTTATTTTTATTTTTTTAAATTTTATTTATGATAGTCACAGAGAGAGAGAGAGAGAGAGAGAGAGAGAGAGAGAGAGAGGCAGAGACATAGGCAGAGGGAGAGGGAGAGGGAGAAGCAGGCTCCATGCACCGGGAGCCCGATGTGGGATTCGATCCCGGGTCTCCAGGATCGCGCCCTGGGCCAAAGGCAGGCGCCAAACTGCTGCGCCACCCAGGGATCCTTCTTTTCTTTTTAAAGGTTTTATTTATTTATTTTTTCATGAGAGACACACAGAGAAAGAGAGAGGCAGAGACACAGGCAGAGGGAGAAGCAGGCTCCCTACGGGGAGCCCAAGATGGGACTCGATCCCGGGACCCCAGGGTCACGCCCTGGTGCTAAACAGCTGAGCCACCCAGGGACCCCTCTCTTCTTTCTCTTTTACTCATTACTTTCATCTCCAGGTATTTAAATTATATGTATCCAGTAGTCACTTACAAAAAAGCTAAATATCAGAAGGCAGCAATATCTTTTATACAGTTGGGTAAAGTTTAGGATAGGAATCGGGCAGCCCGGGTGGCTCAGCGGTTATTTATCTTATACATGTAATCATTATATAATTATATCATATATATGGACTAGGCATTTATGTAGAGTTTAACACCTTACAGGGAATGTGTCAGAGTAATATAACATATCATCATAGTAACAATGATGTTGCCGCAGCTGCTGCTGACTTTAGAAAAAGTAATCATGGGCATAAAATATTTAGAACAGTGATTCTCAATCCTACAAGTTTTTTTAGTTGCTATTTCCTAGACTTCAACCTATAGATTTAAATGCAAATCTCTAGGGTTTGGGCTTGGGCATCATTTTTTTTTTAAGATTTATTTATTTGGTTTTTTTAAAGATTTATTTATTTATTTATTTATTTATTTATTTATTTATTTATGATAGAAGCAGGCTCCATGCCTGGAGCCTGACGTGGGACTCGATCCCGAGACTCCAGGATTGCACCCTGAAGGTGGTCACGCCCTGGGCCCAAGGCAGACGCTCAACCGCTGAGCCACCCAGGGATCCCCATCATTTGTTATTCTTCTCTTAAAACTTTCGTATTGCTGCACAGCAAACCACCCAAAATGCAGTGGTTTAAAGAAAAAGTTGTTTCGTTTTTGTCACTATTTTGTGGGTTTATGAGAAGGTTCTTCTGCTTGTCTCACTTGGGCTCAGTTACGCAACGGCTTTTGGCTATTTGGCTGGCCTGGACTGAAAGGTCAAAAATGGGCTCCCCCAGATGTCTGGGACCTTGGTGTTGACCGTCAGGGGGCACGCTGTCCGTGTGCTGAGTTATTCTTTGGCAGGCTAGCTGATGGGTTGTCTTTCTTATGTGGATGTTCAGCTAAAACTGAAATTGCACCGCTTCTTTTTGTGGGTGTGTTGCAAGTTTCACCATGTCCCCTCTACTACATTCCTGGTTAAATCAAATCACAAGGCCAACAGAGGCTCCAAGGGAAGGAAAACAGACTACTCCTTAACAAGCATGGCAAGGCCCTATTGCAAAAAGGCATGTGGAGTGGGAAGGTTGTCCTGCCATCTTATAAACAGTCCAGCACAATCACATGGACTCCACTGAATCATGCGGGTTGAGAATAACTGCTTCAATCAAAGGGCTTTACCCTCATATGTCAAAGATGCGTTGAGGGTAAGCTTTCATGCTACAGCTCATCCAGACTCAGCCACGGCATAGGAATTTGAAAAGGAAATTAACTGGTAGGCTTACCAATTTAAAATAGAAAATGTGGAGTATATGCTCCACAGTTAGGTTTCTTTGCCAATAACTTCATTTACTCTAAAATGCAAAGCGTCACTCGAGTGTTACTTGTCCAGCAGATGTCAGCCTCGCACAAGATAATGCCAAGATGTCCGCCAAAGGAAACTGGGTCCTTCAGTGTATGGAAAGATTAGAACAGAAATTTCCAGGGAGAAAGTATTGCTAGGAGCTACACATTTTGGATAAGGAGCTAGATTCCACCTTCTGCCAGGGTCAGGAGGCCTCATTACAGCACAAGACGTTGCGGTTAGAAATGCTGTACCTCACTTTTTCTAAAGCGTGCAATTTTCCACATTTTAATATCTCTAACAATTGGCAATATCACCCAATGTCTCTATTTTTTTCCCCTCCTTAGTGAAATGTAAGAAAATTGAGCCTTACAAAAGATGATTTATCAGATTGGATGAAAGACAGTAACTCTCATGAGGAAATGATTTTGCGGATTTCCCTTCTGTGATTCACTAGAAGACTAAGAGATCTCTTCTTCACTGACACAGTCTTTGACTGAATCAGGGGGTCACCGTGGGTCCCAAATCTTCCATACACTCCTTTAATTATCTTTTCTTGCAAAGCTATGAATTATCTCTCTTGATCCACTCCTGTTTCATCCTTTAAGACATCACAGAATGGGGGGATCCCTGTGAAAGCACCTGAGGACTACCAAGATTAAACACTATGTGATAAATATGGAAAAGGGGAAAGTCACTCACTACCATCAAAGGCAGAGTGAGCTGGGCCAGTTCCTCAGATCGAATGAGAGAGAAGTCCTCCTCCAGGGTCTGTAATTACCTCCAGGGATTAATGATCTCCCAGAAGCTGTGTATCAAGCCCCAAGTGTTCACCTACTACTTGTCATCAGGCATGAGAGGGGTGTCAGCAAGGGTTGGAAGGGGTAGCAGCACCCAGCCGGCCATGGGGTCCAGCTGTATAGTCCTCACCGTTGCACAAAGAGACTCAAAGAAACAAAGGGAGTTGAAATCCAGCTCTGCTGTGCTTATCACCCAAAACCTCAAAGATCTTCATCTTCTAAAAGGCTGTTCCTTTTCCTTTCTATCTAATTTACATAAGGTAAGTGCTTTTCTGTAGTTACCCCAAGGGGACCTTCCATTAAAAGAGGATCTCCTCCCCGGCTATCAGTTTTCTTCCCTTCCACCCTCTCATTTAGTCTCTGCCAGAGAAGAAGTCTTAATCTTCCTCCCAAATCCTCATCATTCCTCATAATTTGTACCACACTCAACAATGTCAAATGCAGAGCCCGTTCTATTAGTGTCCCATTGCTGAAATTGAAGCTGTTTGACCTTTATCAAATTTATAAGAGGCAGGGCCAAGGTTTTTTTATTTTTATTTTTTATTGGAGTTCAATTTGCCAACATACAGCATAACACCCAGTGCTCATCCCGTCAAGTGCCCCCCTCAGTGCCCGTCACCCCAGTCACCCCAACCCCCCGCCGTCCTCCCCTTCCACCACCCCTAGTTCATTTCCCAGAGTTAGGAATCTTCCATGTTCTGTCTCCCTTTCTGATATTTCCCACTTATTTTTTCTCCTTTCTCCTTTATTCCCTTTCACTATTTTTTATATTCCCCAAATGAATGAGACCATACAATGTTTGTCCTTCTCCGATTGACTCATTTCACTCAGCATAATACCCTCCAGTTCCCTCCATGTTGAAGCAAATGGTGGGTATTTGTCGTTTCTAATGGCTGAGTGATATTCCATTGTATACATAGACCACAGCTTCTTCATCCATTCATCTTTCGATGGACACCGAGGCTCCTTCCACAGTTTGGCTATTGTGGACATTGTTGCTATAAACATCGGGGTGCAGGTGTCCCGACGTTTCACTGCATCTGGATCTTTGGGGTAAATCCCTAACAGTGCAATTGCTGGGTCGTAGGGCAGGTCTATTTTTAACTCTGAGGAACCTCCACACAGTTTTCCAGAGTGGCTGCACCAGGTCACATTCACACCCACAGTGCAGGAGGGTTCCCTTTTCTCCGCATCCTCTCCAACATTTGTGGTTTCCTGCCTTGTTAATTTTCCCCATTCTCACTGGTGTGAGGTGGGATCTCATTGTGGGTTTGATTTGTATTTCCCTGATGGCCAGTGATGTGGAGCATTTTCTCCTGTGCGTGTTGGCCACGTCTATGTCTTCCTCTGTGAGATTTCTGTTCATTTCATGAACTTCTGCCCATTTCATGATTGGATTGTTGGTTTCTTCGCTTTTTGATGCTGTTTGTTTCTTTTGCCAGATCTGAGGTGGCACAGGCTAACATATATCCTATTTGCAAAGTGATCATATCTAGAGGTAGGAGTTGGATTTTATGGACAACTCTGCTGGTGGCAGTGCAGGGGGAGGACAGCCAGGATTATGTGGGGAGGCTGGTGCAGAGCATAGGATAAAGAAGGGAACTAGTCTTAAACGGTCCCAAATAGCAGGTAATTCAAAGCTGTCTGTTGGTACTTAGTGGAACTTAACATGCCACAGGGACATAGAAAAATGGACTTACCAGAGTATGACATGTCCAGATGAATCTGGACACATGAGTAAAAGTCAAACAGGGGAAGAATGGTGGGGCAAAGTAGAAGAAGAAGCAATAAGATACTGATATACTAAAGGCAGTAGAGATAAGCATGTTCAAAGGCAGAGAGAAATGGAATATCATAAAACCTTCAGAAACTACACCTTGTGCCGTTTGGGAGAAAGCGGATATGTGGGAGATAAAAATTAAGAATAGGAAAGATAAATAGAGATTAGATATGAGCACTGGGTGTTATTCTATATGTTGGCAAATTGAACACCAATAAAAAATAAATTTATATAAAAAAAGGCATACAGGAGTAAAAGTTTAAAAAAAAGAAATTAGATACGAAACAAAAGTCTTCAATGTTATTTTAAGTGTTTTGATTTAGTCTAGAAAGGTAAAGAGCCACTTAGAAATGTACAAAAGAAGTTATATGATTAGATTTATCTTTTAGAAAGCTCATTCTGGTGTAAATATGGGAAATGGATGGAATAAGGAACCAGTGCAGAAAGAAAAAATCATCTAAAAGCTTACCACAAAAGACAAAGGAGAAATGTGACCACCAGAAATAAGACGAGCATACTAGGAATGGAGAGGAAGCGTGACACCCTGAGATATTTAATGTGCCCAATGGCTAAATCAAGGATTGATCAGACTTATGTTTGAGGGGTGGAGGGAGGAAAAGAAAAAAAAAAAATGGGGAAATTTCCAGGTTTCTTCTTGAATGACTAAGTGAATATTGAGTCCTTTTATTAAGAACAACATACAGTAGAAATAGCAAGTTAAAGGCAAATATTTTAAAGTATAATTTTCAAAAAGGCAAAATAATGACTTGTGTTAATATAAGACAAACATATTCAAAGATTTTATTCAACTCATCAATTAATAAGAATTCCAATAATGGGGGATCCCTGGATGGCGCAGCGGTTTAGAGCCTGCCTTCGGCCCAGGGCGTGATCCTGGAGACCCGGGATCGAGTCCCACGTCGGGCTCCCTGCATGGAGCCTGCTTCTCCCTCTGCCTGTGTCTCTGCCTCTCTCTCTCTCTGTGTGTCTTTTGTGAATAAATAAATAAAATCTTAAAAAAAAAAAGAACTCCATAATGTATTTGAATTGGTCCAAAGCGTATTTGAGAAGTTAGTTATCAACAGACACCTGAGTCAGCTACAAAACTAGTCACCAGCAGCAACACCATCGACGCTCATCTCTGAGATGATCGTTTACACCAGAAATAAAGTACTTGCATCTCTACTCAACGTAAATTTGTGAGGTGACCCCTGCCCAACAAAGTAGTAAAATAGCCTTGGAAAGAGAAACTCTCGCACTGCTCCCAGTTACCAAAATATGGTAATCTTGTTTGTCTATTTTCAAGTCTAGAATAATCGGATGAGTTGAGATTGAGATATGATGAGTTGGAGGCGGTTCTGAGATACTAAGAATAGAGAAGTCCCTGAGGCAGCTGGGTATACGAGCTTAAGGACAGAGTTTGTTGGAATTCCAGGCTTCCTTATAACAGGTGAAGACACGAGAAATAGCAGTTCACTTAGGGAAAGTATGCAGAGACAGAAGTTCAAGTGTAAAAGGAAACCTTAGAAAGAGCAATATTTAAAAATCAATCAAGTACAAGATGTTCACAAAAGAGTAGCTATAGGGGTTGGAAAAAGAAAGTTTCAAATAGAAGCCAAGTGAGATATGGTTCAAGAAGGAGGGTATATTCTCCAGTAACAAACGTCATAAAATATCCAGCAGGAAGGAGAATGCACGGATATCACTGGATTTGCAACTACACAATGATTAGAAATATCAATAAGAATAACACCCAGTGCTCATCCCGCCAAGTTCCCACCTCAGTGTTATTCTATATGTTGGCAAATTGAACACCAATAAAAAAATAAATTCATAAAAAAAGAAAGAAATATCAATAAGAACATTTCTATTTATATGACAGGGATTTAAAATATTAACGTGAAAACTAAGAAGTTACGCAAATAAAGTAGATAAAGGAATCAAGAGACTCTAAAGAGTGTTCTGGTTTTTTCTAGGATGGGAAAGGTTTAAGCATATATATTTGCTGAAGGGGAGGAACCCATAGGGTGGGGGAGGTCATGGTTCAGGAAGGAAGAGAGAATGATGCTGTGAGGTCATTGGAAAATTGGAATGAGTTGAGATCCAATCACTTTTAAAGACTTAATTTAAAAATATACAGAAAGTCACTGATTCATTAGTTTTCTATAATACCCAGGGCTCATTATATCATGTGCCCTCCTAATAGGTAAGAGGTTTCTTTTTGGGGTGATAAAAATATTCTGGAGTTGATGGCTGCATAATTCCACGAATCTACTAAAAACAATCGTACACTTTTTAAGGGATTTTAAAGGTGAATTTGATGGTATGTAAATTATAGCTCAATAAGGCTGTTACAATAAAAAGAAAAAAAAAGGAAAAAATATATATATACATAAAGTGCTTTTGGAGGGTCTAGCCGTGAAGCATACATACAAATCTTTATCTGAGATTAGAGGAAAGGAAAAAGGACAAGCGTGAACACAGTTACATTGGTCACCCGGAGAAGTCAAGACATTTCTGCCTAAAAAAAAAAAAAAAAAAAAAAAAAAAAAAGACATTTCTGCCTATCGGTCTCTCTCTTTTTCCTAAAAAAAAAAAAAAAAAAGGGTCACCCCTAAACAGTGTGAGACAGGGAATTTGAAGACAACAGTAAAGGTCTGAGGTTGTTACTATGAAAAATAAATAATGAGAAATGTTTACTATAGAAACACGTATTAATAGTTGAATAAATGTATAATATTAGGGCTCAGCTCAAGGCACAGAATATGGATTAGTAGGATTTAATAATTTTCTCCAGGGGCGCCTGGGTGGCTCCGTTGGTTAAGTGTCTGCCTTCGGCCCGGGTCATGATGTCGGGGCCTCGGGTCGGGCCCTGCTCAGCGTGGAGCCTGCTTCTCCCTCTCCCTCTGCTCCTTCCCTGGCTCACGCGTGTGCTTGCTCCCTGTCTCCCTCTCCCTCTCAAATGAAGAAATAAATACAATCTGTCTAAAAATAATCATTTTCTCCAGCAGTGTTCAGTGATCCACATAAACGAATAAGGATAGAAGTATTGCTTTCTAAGGATAAAAGGATAAGAAGTGAACCCTTCCAGGCAGGGTCCGCACTTCACGGCGGGCAGAACAGAAACAGTCACATGAGGGTTTCTGTTGCTGCTGCTGCTGCTCCAGCTGCTCCAGCTGCTGCTAATCCCCCTGAGTGTGGCTTGCACTAGCGAGAGACATTTCAACAGGTGGGGCAGGGACGCCTCTACCAACCCCAGTACCCAGAGTTGTCTCGAAAATGGATGATATGTTTCTTTTTATTCCCATTACAGGCTTTCCACGCCACCATACGTGCTCTGAGAGCAGTGGCTTCAGAGAAGAGCCCAATGCCCACGTCCCATTGCCCCCAAGACCCAGCTCCTGCTCCCCGGCCCCACAAACCCCTGAACACGGTAGGAGAAAGGCAGCAGGTGCATGGGAAGAAAGACCGGCCGGACAGACCTGGAATCTCTGCCCTGAGCCTGCGGTAAACTGCATGCCCAGGGAAAGACCCGAGGCACGTCCCTTCATTCTTCTGTGCATTGGTTTCTCTACCATGTGGGTATTAGCATACACAAGGTGGACCGTGGTGAACTAGACACAATTTTCTCCCAAGCTCTGATACTGCGTAGGGCAGTTAGAGGATTTAACGATGGTCAACTTCGGAGAACAAGGAACAATATTGCTACTGGAATATTCTTGGACTTAAGCTAAATGAGGAAGGAGAAATCCCACCTTCAGGCTCTGAAACCTTGGTGTACCTGGCACTGGGGCTCCCAGGAGCCTCTACGTATCCTCCGCGTCTCGAATTAAATTCCAGAAAGTCTCCCACAACACCAGAGTCCTGTTTTTCTGGAAGCCTCTCCCTTATCCCAAATTTCTCCCTCGATGTCAAATTTTGCATCTTCATAGAAGAAAAAAAAAGATGAGTGGGGATCAGGGTTCCTCCTCTTGGCCGTTGCAAAAAGAAATCAGTATTTTCTGCTGGCAGAAAACAAAATACAAATAAACTTAAAAACAAACAAACAAAAAAAAAACGTTGGCGTGTTTTAAAATAAATAGCAGTTGTGGTTTGGGTCATAGGGAAAATATTTTGTTGGCAAACAGGCCTTGAGCACCTACGATACTGTACCAGGCAGCACGTGTACAGAGCATCTTAGACCCGTTCTAAGTTTTTTGTAGACTAGGAGAGGTCTCACACGCACACACACTTCCAGTAATGTATTACTCAGCTGCCTAATAAGTTGCAAGATAGCAAAGACCAGAAGAGAGGGATTTGAGGGAAAGCATAACCACTAGTGTCAAAGAAAAAAATCATCTACCAGATAGGATGAGCACGCAGAGGTTGATTTTATTCCAATAATATCGCCAACCGGAGGGGAGAAAGCACGGAGCGTTGACCAAGTCTGGTTGTCCAGCTTGGGACGAAGAAGGAACTAGAGAGTTTAGGGGCTGGGCTGGGGAGCTCTTAGACCCCCTGTGTTTGCTGACTGGCCTTATCTAGAGGAAAAGTAAGCTTCCTGGCATATTTTTCTTTCTTTCTTTCTTTTTTTTTTTTTTTTTTTTAAGAATTTATGTGTTTGACAGAGAGAGCAAACAAGTAGGCCGAGCAGCAGGCAGAGGCAGCCCTGCAGGGAGGGCTGGATCCCAGGACCCCGCGACCACGACCTGGGCTGAAGGCAGACCCTCCACCCCCTGAGCACCCCCTACCCCAGGAACCCCACTTTCTGGCCATTTTGTAAGACTAGGAGCTAAGGGCCCAGCTTAAGGTAGGCTCCTTCCCTTCCACTGAACTTGGGAGATAAAGGCCTATCTTCTTTGATTACATTTCGGAGAGATGATTCTCAGTTCCTAGAGAAACGCTTGCCCGGGTTGTAGAATTGGGATGAGGCTGGGAGAAGATTGGTAGCTCAAAGGGTCTGAAGAAGGATTTATAGTACGTGCTTTTTAAATTAAAAGCTGTAAGAAAACAGAGGTCGGGGCCTAGCGTCGCTGGGGGTTGGGGGGAACCTGTGCAAACCGTGGTCCAGCTGAAGTGAACGTTGAGGCCATCTCGGCCATGAGAGAGAACACGAATCTGACATTATCTCATGTGAAAGAGCCTGAGCAACAATATATCTGAACCCGTCTCATGGAGGAGTTGGGTTGGCGTGGCAGGAAGGGGCAGCCCCCACGCTCAGCGTTGCCAGGTTCCTTACGGGGGAACTGAAGACCTGTGCAAAGTGTGTGTGGCTGGAGGTGCGCTCGCCCCCTGGGGCAGGATACGGGCAGGACAACGTCCTCAGGTCCATGTCTCCTGGATCCACATAGACCGTCACTGAGGAGAGAAGAAAACAATGCATTTGCCTCCTGGCCCCTGCCTGGGCGGGTTCCCAAGGACCTTGGCCAGTAACCAGAACCCTTTGGGGAACACTCATTACTGGTCTGGGGAACAGAGGCACCCCTGCTCCTCTCTCGGCCTGGCTCTCTCCAGCACCTGCCGCGCTGCAGTCCTCCTGCTCCCGACCCAGGTACCAGGCGCCAAGCCCGCATACCCGCATCCCCCATCCCCTCATCCCCTCATCCCCGCATCCCGCATCCCCTCATCCTGCATCCCACATCCTGCATCCCGCATCACCTCATCACCGCATCCCTGCATCCCAGCATCCCCACATCCCCACATCCCCTCATCTCAGCATCCCCGCATCCTCCCATCCCGCATCCCCACATCCCGCATCCCTGCATCCCTGCATCCCCACATCCCCGCATCTCCGCATCCCTGCATCCCCACATCCCCGCATCCCTGCATCCCCTCACCCTGCATCCCACATCCTGCATCCCGCATCACCTCATCACCTCATCAGCTCATCCCTGCATCCCAGCATCCCCCATCCCGCATCCCTGCATCCCCACATCCCTGCATCCCCGCATCCCCACATCACTGCATCCCCACATCTACTGCAACCCCGCATCCCCCATCCCCGCATCCCTGCATCTCTGCATCCCTGCATCTTCGCATCCCCCCATCCCGCATCCCCACATCCCCATATCCCCCCATCCTGCATCCCTGCATCCCCGTGACGGGACAGGGCTCCAGACCCATCGCAGCAACACCATTGCTCACAGTCCCAAGGCCAATCTGCTATTCCCGCCTCTCCCATGTGGATGTGAGGACCGAGTGGGTGGCAGGGCAGGCGCCCACTTTAGGAAAAATGGATTGGAAGCGTACTGGGTTGGCGGTTAGGCAGGCGCAGGGGGCGCAGGGGGCACAGGCACCGTAATCTTAGTAAAGCTCCCAGAGCCATGCCCCCTTCCCTGCTATCATTTTTCTCCACAGAATTATACTATTTAACATTCTAGGTTTATTTATATAATCTGTTTATTTCCTCTTTTTCCTGAAGACGTTGTAGCTCAAACTCTGAGCTGCTGGAAGAGCGGAGCTTTATGGTTTGCTCCTGGAGAGAAGGAAGGCTCCGGATGGAGAGTGGGCACAAAGAGGTGCAGGGGTCTCGGGGGTCGCCCTGGGAGGTCCCCTTCCCGGAGTACATTTGGAAGAGGGTATATATCCTCTCCAAGGACGAAAGGCCCTGCAGGCGCCAGAAAAAGGCCTTTCATCAGGGGGGGACTAAGACGTGTGCTGAGGAGGGGTCACCAGGTCACTGGTTTTTGTGTTGTCAGAGCATAGAATCTGCACACTACCCAGCCAGGGGCCTGGTTTTCTGGGACAAAGAGCACTAGTCAGAGTGCAGGGAGCCTCTAATCCTGAGGAGGGAGCGCATCCAAGTGGTGGCAGCTCCTTTAAGATGTGGAGCTTTGAATCCCAGCCTCACCAGAGATAACTGGAGACTGGAGACCGGGCTCTGACCCCCTGAAGGGCCTCACTTCCGAGAGGGCTTCCTGAACCGAGGGAGGTGTGAGATTCCCCTGCCCAGGGAGTGAGATCTCATTGGACGCAGGCTAGGAACACTGCTGGACATCAGAGAGCAACACCGGCACCCTGCCCTTTGTGCATGGTAAATGCTTCTTTCTTCTTTCTTTCTTTCTTTCTTTTTTTTTTTTTAATTACTGCAGCAGGAGGGATCCCGAGGCAGCACAGCAGGCCTCCCCCCAGAGGAGCAACACAGGCAAGCTTCTTTATTCACCAAGTTTACTGGCCATTCAGTGTGTCCCATAGCATCCCCTTCAGTTCTGGTGGAAATAGGACCAGGTGGTTGTGGGTTTTTTCCTTTTATATTTTCTTTTCCTTCCTTCCTTCCTTCCTTCCTTCCTTCCTTCTTTCTTTCTTTCTTTCTTTCTTTCTTTCTTTCTTTCTTTCTTTCTCTTTCTTCTTTCTTCTTTTATTTTGAATCAGAATTATATATTTTTGTTTTGTTTTTTTCCATTTCCTTTCCTCTTTTTTTGGAGCAGTCTTCTTTTTGTCGTTTCTTTTTGTTTATTATTTTCCCTCTCTTTTTCTTTAGAGTCTGGCCTATAGTTTCTTTCTTAATTTTTTTAGGCTTATAGTTTTGCTTTGTGTGTGTGTGTGTGTGTGTGTCTTTTTTTTTAATCTGTTTGTTTTCTTTCCTTTTCTCTTATTTTTGGATCAGACTTTTTTTTTCTTTTCTTTCTCTCTCTCTCTTCTTTCTTTCTTTTTTTAATAAATTTATTTTTTATTAGTGTTCAATTTCCAAACATACACAATAACACCCAGTGCTCATCCCGTCAAGTGCCCCCCTCAGTGTCCGCCACCCAGTCACCCCCACCCCCCCACCTCCCCCTCCACCACCCCTAGTTCATTTCCCAGAGTTAGGAGTCTTTCATGTTCTGTCTCCCTTTCTGATATTTCCCACTTATTTTTTCTCCTTTCTCCTTTATTCCCTTTCACTATTTTTTATATTCCCCAAATGAATGAGACCATATAATTAATGTTTGTCCTTCTTTTCTTTCTCTTACTTTCAACAAACAAATCAAAGCATATCTAGATAAAGGTCCAAACACCCCCCTACTGCAAGCAAGGAGGAACTCTGCTGAAGACAGGCCAGTGGGAAAGAGCAGCCAAAAGGTCATAGCGGGGTGCACAGAAAATACACCAGAAATTCTTCAAGTTCTTCAAGAAGTGCCAGGCCCTGGACAGTGTATGACCTCTTTTTAATATAGAATTACTCTGAGGTGCAGGAAACATAATAGGCTTCCATAACACACAAAAGATAGAAACTCAGCCAAAATCGCAAGATGGAGGAATGCTCCCCTGAAGAAAGGTCAGGAAGATATTATAGCCAGGCACTTGCTCAAAGCAGATATAAGAAATAAACCTGAACAAAAATTTAGATCAACTGTATAAGATTACTAACTGGACTTGAAAAAAGCATAGAAGGCACCAGAGAAACCGTTGCTGAAGAGTTAAAGACCTAGAAGCTAGTCAGGCTGAAATAAAAAATACTAAACCAGAGATGCAAACAGACTGGATATAATCACTAGAGGAATTGAAGAAACAGAAGAGAGCATAGGTGATATGGAAGATAAAATTATGGATAATAATAAAGCTGAAAAAAAGAAGGAAAGAAAACTATTAGACCATGAAGGTAGACTTAGGGAACTCAACGATTCCATAAAGCAAAATAATATGTGTATCAGAAGTTCCTGAAGAATAAAAACAGAAAAGTGTAACATCTATTTGAGAAAATTATAGCTGAAAACTTCCCTAATCTGGGGGGGAAACCAGGCATTCAAATCCAAAAGACACAGAGAACTGCCCCCCTACCCCAAATCAAAAGAACAGGTCAATACCATGGCATATCATAGTGAAAGTTGC